AGGACCTATCCACGTCATCATTTACCCAGAATGCTTTGTGTGCAAATAAAATGGCTCCGTCCGTGTTAAAATATATTTTTAAAAATTATAAAAAAACTAAACAGCCTACAGTATTTTTATTTCACAGTTAAAATAAATGTTTATCAAATAAAGTCTAATGTTACAACTGATCCTGGATCCCTTTAAAAATGTTTGGATGCTCAGTATCTGTGCTCCATAAAGTCCTCACAGTTTTTGATTTTATTTCTCAGAAACTAAGGCTCTGTTTCACTCTGAAAATTCTTGTTTACTGGGGGGTGAAAACACAAAAACATCACTGGTTTACATGGAACCACTGCAGTAACGTAGCAGGCACGGTTGCCAAACAGGACATAGTAAAGTGTTTTATTGTTCCTTTAAAGTCATTTTATTTTGAGTCAAAACAGCAGATTTGCTGTACATATATGACTCACTCAGTTATATACGCTGAGAGTGTTGTAATATAAGGTGTGTGTTGTGTTTGGTGAAAATATGCACGGAAAAAGACTGACAAAATAATCTTTTTTTTAAATCTGGCAACCCTGAGGCTCTCACTCAGGCTCTGATCATGCAGCGGCTTCATTACGTCTGAACTGGGGAATAAACTAAAGTTTGATTGGACATGTAGGATTATTTTTGTGTTTTTCCTAAAAGCTACAAAGTGAATCAGAAAAACACTCTAATTGTAACTGTTGTTAGATTAGAAGAAACTCTTCCTGTGTGTCGGCTGTTTGAGCGTGCGTACTTTCACAGCTGCGGGGGGCTTCTCACAGGAAAATACCTGCAGCTTCACTCAAGACTGGCGTCGTGTAAACGGGGCCCAACAGAAACTAAAAACCTTTCTACAGACTGAAGAGTTCATGCTGTCGTATAGTTTTACTGCCAGGAGGACAGAAAGGACTTCACAGAGTCCAGATGTTTGAGACGCCTCAGTAATCTGAGCAGAAACAGGGATTATTCTAACAAACAGCTTCATGTCAGAAACATAAAAACCTCCAGAACTCAGATTTTAATCTTTATTTTAATGTTTTGTTCTTCATCAGAACCTCTGTTGTCTTTTTGTCCATAAACCTGTTTGAGACAAAGGTTCTGTGCTGCAGTCCTCCTGAAGAGAACCTGCAGAACCCAGGAAAACCTGCAGAACCCAGGAGGAGAACCTGCAGAAGCCAGGAGGAGAACCTGCAGAACCCAAGAAGAGAACCTTCAGAACCCAGGAGGAGAACCTGCAGAAGCCAGGAGGAGAACCTGCAGAACCCAAGAAGAGAACCTTCAGAACCCAGGAGGAGAACCTGCAGAAGCCAGGAGGAGAACCTGCAGAACCCAAGAAGAGAACCTTCAGAACCCAGGAGGAGAACCTGCAGAAGCCAGGAGGAGAACCTGCAGAACCCAAGAAGAGAACCTTCAGAACCCAGGAGGAGAACCTGCAGAAGCCAGGAGGAGAACCTGCAGAACCCAAGAAGAGAACCTTCAGAACCCAGGAGGAGAACCTGCAGAAGCCAGGAGGAGAACCTGCAGAACCCAAGAAGAGAACCTT